TGGTTGGAAAGATGTGAGAAAAACATCTTTTCGCCCTTGGAAGTTCCAGGAATCGATGAAGCTGGGAAGATATGTATCAAATTAGAGTGATTTCGGCTTTTTCGCGCTACACTTCCGATCATTTCTTATCAGATAGAAAAAAATTGATTAGAAATGACTGGAAAAATCTGTAAACTTTCTAACCTGAAATACTGCTACTAAATTCTATCGTTTTTCGTTGTTTTTCTCCAGAACTGGTGCATATGCATCACATGATGAGACACATTTGCGGATGAGATATGAATGGGTGACTACATGTATATATACGTATATCAGAGTGTTAGTTCAGTCACTCAGTCGTTCGCAAGTTAACAAGTAAACAGTACGTTAGTTAGGGAGACGTGTAAAAATGTAAACATATACATTTAGTTTTATTTATCTATGGACACATATGTATTTACAATAATACGTATAGATATTACTATAGGCTGATACTATAGGACATAAATTTGTTCTTATGTAATTAGTACACTATGCATCTCTATAGGTGCACAAGTGCGCAAAAATATGACACTAGTCTCAAAAACAACGACTTTTTGCGCGTTGTTTTGGCTGATTCTACTGATCTTCCTGCAGAAGCCAGGCGTAAAATCATGGAAATAATGATTATCCACATTTTTCTGACCACCAGAAATATTATGAATTTAACCGGATTCAATCGGCAACTGGAAGGAGTATTCGAGAAACATGGTAGAACTCTATCGTCTTTTGTCGGTTCCAAGTGCTAGAATCGTTGATCAGATCCTTTTACATTGGCTTTCACTGTAGAAACAGTAGTATCTCGCATGTTTCCTCCTAGTTCCTTTCATTTTTCTGCAGGTTCCAGTCTTTCTCAGAATATTTTCGATAGTTGGAATGACTGATCTGAGTTCTAGTATTTTTGTTTTAGATAAATGTTTAGTCAGATATGACAAGTTTTTGATTTTGTCCCGATCATTTCCTATAATTGTCCTTCTGAATTCAATAAAGTTCTATATTGCTTTCATGCTCCAAAAAATCTGGAAAAGTATTGTGTCCAGTATAATATCTTTCCGAAGCAGTGATATTACTGCCTTCATGTTCCTATAATTTTCTAGTCGGTTCCTGCTGAAATATAGAAGAAACGATAGGAAATTTGCCCAGAAAATACGTTGTTTTCAGAAGGATCGAGCCCCATTCATCGATATGGACAGTTGTTGATCAAACCGCTACAACATCTGGTTGAGCGCATGCAGGTATCGGAACATTTGTAAGTTAGCCAGAATAGTGATATTGAATAAATTACAAGGTAGAACACCTCGTTGTGATCAGACACGATCGATTTTACTTTTAGCAATGCATTCAAAGTTCTTTGAAAAAATTATATTAGAAAAAGTAAGATATTAGACAAGAACCAATAATTGAGTCCCAGCTGAACAGTTTGATTTTCGTCCAAATGGTTTATTTTTCACTAGAGTCCTATCCGGCAATCAAGAAGTTTACAATAAAATGATGGCTAATATTTTAATATTAGCAGTGTACGTTAACTATTAAAAGACATACGACAAAGTGTGGTATAAGGATCTTGCTGTTAAACTCTTTAGAATGAACATATCTTTAGTACCATTGAAACTAATTATTTTTTGTGGCTAAGTGATCGTTGTATATATGTTGTCCTTGGAGAGAATCAATCGAAAATATTTCACACCTAATTCCGATCAATAAAGCAAGAAATAAAGCTGATAATTGACGTTTTAGAAGAGGAGGGAACAAAAGTATGTAATAAAATAGGAAAGTATTCCAAGAAATGGAAACAATCCATATGTTCGTCTAAAACAGTAATGTAGATCTTTCATTTGCAAATACGACACACTATAGTCAATGTATATATGAAGGATCAAAGATTACAAATAGTTAAAGAATTTGAATATGTAAGTTTGACGTAGACAAATAAATTATCTTTAAATCTTCGATTGATAAAACGCTTAAAAATATTCAATGGACATTTAACAAATAAAGATGATAAAACTCTTTCAAATGTTGTCTTACGAAGATATATTTTGGTTTTAGTTTTTCTTATTCTACTTGAATAGTTCCACTATATCCATTTCTAAACAAAATCCAAAAATAATTACTCTTGAAGAAATTTAGGAACGGACTGAGACTGGTTTATTGTTGCCGCTGTGCTTCTAAGGCAATAGGCTTTCTTCAAATAACAAATGAAGTTTCATTAGCAGATTATATAAAATGATAGATCAAAACAAGACTAGAACGAATCGATTAATTAGATGTAGATCGCTCGCTTTTTTACAATGATATATTTTATTGGAATTTATTTCAAACGAGTAAAAATAGTCACCTTAGACATTTCCTTTGCATAAAATGAATGAAACACACACAGACAAGGCATCAATCATTGTTTTTTTCAATGGCTTAAATTTTGATCAATGTCAAACCCATCATGTTCTGTCTGAACTTCCTCCATTCCTCTCATCTATGCCTTTCTCTATCTCATTTTCTCACTTCTCTTTGCTTTTGTCATCTCCTTTTTTTTTTATTCTTTTCGTCTTCACTCCTTGTTTCCTTTTTTTTCTCTTCACCATATTTTATCTATCAAACGTGCCATTTTATAAAATTATTGTTTTTTACTTTCTTTTTGTATGCATTAACATCACTCTTAATGATGTAAATCACACAGTTGCTAATGCTTACGATATTTATTGTAAGCATTTTCGAGTATAATAATAAGAAAGCAAGATTGTATATATATATATATATATGGGGACAGCTATTTTGACCGGATATTCCAGTTCTATTTTTTTTTATCAGGCAATTTCTATAATATATCGAAACAATATGATTTTTTTTTAAACATTTCTAGTACTCATATAGTGATGATGATTTGTTATTATTTTGATTACATATTTTATCTGAAATAAAAATAATTAAGTGTCTTCATAACATATTTTGCTCGAACGTATTCTTATTAAACTTATTCGCTTATTATAACTTTCACTTGACATTCGGGCTATTCTCTTTCGATCCTTTCAAATTGATAATATACACTTTCAATATTATGCTGGCTTCAAAGCGTAGGAGCAACTGCTAAAAATATTCATCAACGTATTTAAAATTTTGTCATTTTTATGACGTATTTACAAAGGACCTTGTGATAATTTTTATAACATTATTAAAATAGTACATATTACCTCTGTCCGATGTTATCTTAGGTTGACTAAACATCATATTTGTAATTATAGACCGTGATACATTATCTATAGGTTCTGATCGATTACTTTTAATAAAAATGTGTTAGTAATATTTTTTCTTATTTCAAATAACAAGTATGCATTAGAATGAATGAATAAGGTTGAAAAAAGTACGTTTGAGTAAAATATTGTACGAAAATATTTGATTATTTTTTGTTTCAAACAAGATATATAACCCAAACAATAACAAATCAGAACACTACATAAGTACTATAAATGACCAAAAAAGAAAAATCATATTTTTCCGATATATTATAGAAGCTGGATGATAAAAAAGAACTGGATCATCCGTTCAAACTGGCCACCCTCATATATATATATATATAATAAAAACATTTGTCTAACAGCTTCGTTCTTCATATCCGACAATAAACAAAACGTACGTTATAATGACCTATGAGGAAAAAAAGTGAAAAAATGCTCTCATTAATAGGATTCAAAACATGCTATTTAAAGTAATGTGAGCGATTTTCATAACCAGGGATGCTTAGCCTTGGCTATGTTAATATTACTTCATCAGATAATATCATTTCAATACAATCGAAAATAAGCGAAAACCTATCAAATGATGGAAGTGATAAGACATTGATGATGATGAAAATTATTTACGACAAGTATGCAATGATGTATTTATTTTGTTTTTTTTTAAAAATGTATTTATATATGAAGTCGTCGTTAATGTTTGATCCAATTTTCTTCTATACCTATAATAGCAAGATTAGTAAATAATATCTACAATCATCACCTTTTTCTCGTTCGCTACCATCACTTTTTTTTTTTCGTATGCTGAATAGACGAAAACAATGTTAATCAAACGAAGAAACAACACAAAAAAGAAGAACAAGAAAGGAAGGAAAGTTATCTATTAGATGTTGTTTGCTCCTTGAGTTCACGTCGACAAACACGCAAGAATTTGGTACTTGACTATATACGAAAAAGAAAGAATGATAGAGAGAGCGAGAGAGAGAGAGAGAAAGAAAATAGGTAGGTACTCTCTCTTTTCTTGTATATTTCCATTCCTAAGAACTCAATGACGCGGATGTAACAGGCTCTTTTACTCCTTGATCTGATGATGAGACGCAAAATTATGCATCTATCAACCAGAAATTCTTTTCTTCGAATGATTATTTCTCTTTTTTTTTTTGTTTGAAATTACAGATATATGAAACATTGTTAAACCAACAACTTTGGATTTACAATAGAACGTTTATTAGATAAATAAATGTTTATCATGATATATATTAATTACATGCTTTTCATTGTTTTATTCATTTTAACTTTTGCACAAGTATCACAATGTAAGTAACAGCAAAAAAAAATAAATAAATCATTGATCTTTCTGTCATTTAAGTGTATACAATCGTTTTTATTGTTTAATTGACGCCTTCATAGACAGTATCATATATCACTAGTGCAACTGTTTTTTTTTCTCGAATATTCGTATGAGACATAGTAATGAAAACTCTGATGATTATTTTGTAGAAAAAAAATTCGAATACATATAATGCAAACCTATGCCTAATTAGGTAATAGATACACGACATTTTGTTCTTGTCATAGTAGTCAAAGAAATGATAAAAATCAATAGAAAGTAATCCGACTATTTATTTTATATGACAAACATAATCAACATCATGAGAATGCTTTTTATATATACATATATATCAAAAAAATAATATTTTTGTAATATAATCATATTAGGAAAATTAATACTGTTTTACTAAGAAAAAAGATATGATAGAAAATATAGCTGATTGTCATCGATGTAATAGTATAAAATTCTGATGACATCAAATAATTTATTAGTAATTAGTCTTTAGCAAAAAATTGTAGAGAAAGATTGAAAACTAATTACGATATTTATTGTATAAAAGTTAAAGATTTTTTTAAACAAGAATTGATTCAATTTTTGAAAAAAAATACAAAAGAATTTTGAAAACAAATAAATCTTTGATACATACTGATTTTTAGATTATTGACAATTGATAATTTTTTTCAAAATTTTTTAAACACTTTTTATAAAAACTATGATTATGTTCAGTTTATTTCTAAAAGTTATCATTTAAATAACCTTTGCCAAGGTTTAAAATTCATTTATTTAATCATAGCTTTTCTCTTAATCTGTTATATTATACCAATAAAATGTATACAAATGGCAGTTCTATCAAAATAAAAGAAGAATTAAATTAAATTATTTTTTCTTTTGTTAAATCTCTTTAGCCAGCGCTTCTCTTCTTCCTATATACAATCCGTCGACTCGTTGTCATCATCTGCCTCTTACTGACAAAAATCTCACTTTTGCTCTTTGTCTTCAACGTGCATCAGATACACAATATCCATTTAATCGTTATACATCATCATCATTTTGTTCAAAATCTTATCCACCAGATGGTCATTTAGTTGATCTATCGTCTTTATCTTCATCAACAATTGATTTACTTTTTCAAAGTTTAACAAATCTTCTAAATACAAATGATTCTCATATCGATTCACCCAAACCAAATTTTTTTTGGATAAATTCAAGTAAGGCTGAATGATCAGATTATTTTCAAAAATTAAATTTTAGATCTTACACAGACTTTAACAAATAATAAATTTTGGTGTCCAAATCAAAATCTAGGAAAAAATGAATCACAAAAATTTTTAATATTAAAAACACGTTGGGATTATAATAATGGTAGTAAACCATGTATTGCAACAAAAAGTATACATTGGATTCGTGCTCCATTTATTTGTTTAACAAAACAAATAATAAACCACGAAAAACAAATATCATCAGAACCTATTCATATTTCACCAATTTATTCAAGTAATATTTTTATTTATCTATTTTTATTATAGAAAAATATTAAAAAAAAATATTTTAGATGATACAATTATTTTCTATGATTCAACACCATGTATAATTGTTCGTACACGTACACATCAATATACATTTTGTATTCGTCGTCAATCATGTCCACAATCAAAGACACATGCATATTGTAAAAATAGGATTGATGCACATCGTATATGTCAAAAAGAAAAAAATGGTTCAAATTTATTAACAATAGAAAATGATGATGAATTTCAACTTATAAATGATATTCTAGCTCGTTATTCAAATGAATCAATACTTATTAATTCAAGTAATTTTGTAGGTAATCATGTTTTACGTGCACACTGGTTGTGGATTGATGGAAGAAAAGGTTAAATATTTGAAAGAAAAAAAAAAAACAACAAAAAGAAATATTTTGTTTATTATTCATATATAGATATTAATAATACTTATCAATGGAATATAAATAATAAAATTTTAACAACAATTCCAGAAAAATATTGGTGTGATAGTATGACAAACTGTTCAAGTGGAAAAGGACGTGAACATGTTGTTTTAAGTATGAATTGTCAACCGAATAACAAAACTTTTCAAGTTTGTCTAGCATCAAGACAAACATCAGATCCAGGACCATATATATGTAAACGAACATTGAAAAAGAATGAAGGTAAAGTTATTAGAATGTCATTAAATAATTTAAATGAGTTTTAATTTTTATAGAATCAGTTTCAAACTATACTTATCTTCGAGATATAATTACTCCTACTACAAAATCATCTATTTCCGTCGTACCAATTTATGAAAAAAGTAAGTTTACTTTGTTTGTATTGTTTGATTTGTTTTTTTAATTTCGTCTTGTAAATCAGATTTAACATCAATCTATTATGATGAACATCATTGTTTAACTGTTCAAACTTATTCTCATCTCTATTCATTTTGTTTACGTCGACAAAATTGTACAGCACCAAAAGCTTTTTGTACAAAATGGAGTCGAGCTCAAAAAGATTGTACAATATTAAAAAATCAAGCACAATTATTAACTATTGAAAATGAACAAGAAAGAACATTAATTAAAGATATTATGACAAATTATTTAAATGAAACACGTTTAACATTTAATGGAAGCTCATATCGTCATTATGTCTTAGCACATTTTATATGGATTGATGGAGTTCGACAAGGTTATCTAAAATAGAATTTTAGAAAAGAAAAATTGTATTTTTTATTTTCATTTTTATCTAGCTGACAAAAAAACATATTTATGGAATAATCAACGTGAATCAATACCAGAACATTTATGGTGTCCTAAAAATGAATGCAATGCAATCAAACATGAACGTGTTATGTTGAATTTATTATGTAATAAATATAATTCATCATTTTGTTTGGGTACACGTCGTGAATGGGTACCAGCACCATATATTTGTAAACGTGTACGACCTAAAGATAGTAAATATTAATTAACTTTTTTTTTTTCCTTATTTTAAATATATAAAACTGATTTATTATTTGAAATAGAATGTCCAATATTATTTGATAAAATTCGTAATATACAATCGAATGAAATGTTAGTTGTGACAATTGATCGAACAGTAGCATTAATTAAATGTAAACATCCAGAATATAATACAGAAATAAAAGTACAATATCAATGTAATATTCAAACAAATCAATGGCAACTAATCTATAAAAATGTCAATTTTACTTGTCGTAAGTTATAAAATGTTTTGTGAACACAAAAAAAAATAAATTCTATTTAGCTGATGATGATATTCCTTCGACAAATAAATCGATTATTGAGTCTCGACCATCTCAGACGACTCATAGTTCAAGTAAGAAACTTCTATCTCATACTTTAAGATATTGATTCAACTTTGGTATGTGTATATACAGTAAATACTTTCAAACAATGTATTAGAAAAAAAATGTTCTTCAGAAATATCTATGTCAGAAAATGATGTGCTAATTATCTTTGTCAACTAATTAATTGACATACGAATTATTTTGTCAAACTACTTGGAAAGTACTTTAGCTATTGAATTATTATATGAAATGAAATCTTTAGAAAAGTAATCTAGAAATCAAGATTTTAAAAGTGACTATAAGGTTTTGACTACAGAACGGAATATATATAGGCTTGTGAAGAAAGACTTTCTCTATCTAAGGATGTATGCAATATCAAGCCCTACTGCATACTGTTGACATGTCAATACGTAGCGTCACCTTTATCGTATACTATCGTGAGTGTAACGAAGATGATACCATATATTGACATATCAATAGAGAAAGTCTTTCTTTAGGTAAGAACTATCGAAAAACTTATAGCTGCCTTTAGCTTCTTACTACTAGAATTAGTCGTTTTTATGTAAATATCTTCTTTACCATCGTTTTTTTCTTTCCTTTTGTCTAGAGATTTTTGGTCATGAAATTTATAATTCTTTTTGTTATTTCAATCTTTCCAATACATTGTCTATTGAGTTTGCTCAAAATTGGTGATAATTCAAATCACGAGGGATAAGTTTTAAGATACTTAGTATTGTGTCGAAATCTAAAATGTCAATTTTTTTTTTTATAATAGACATTACCTATTTATGCTTTTCCTATTGAATTATTTATCTTTCTTTACTTTTACTCTTGTCTATCGTCGTTTATCATCTATTGAGATTTCAATTTCTGATTTAATTAATCTATTGTAAAACAAATTGATTAAAACTTGAAAGCTTTCATTTCTTATGAGTAGAAACAATTGATATGATGAGTTACACAGAAACGATTGCACAATAATTAAAAAAATATACAGGAAGAAAGAAACTAAATAACACATCACTTGTGTAGGAATACTAACGGCATGGAACACAGGAAGAAAAGAAAAAGTAATTTGCTGAAAATAGTTGTAACATATTGATAACGTAATACTATTTACTTGTCTCAAATTCTATAGATTTTTGAATAATGCATGAAATAACAATAAATATATTTATATTGTCTTTATTATAGCATCAACCCGACCATCATATCCAGTACAGAGTACTTTAAGTACAATAAAAGGTTTAAAATAAATATATTATCTTAAATAAAACCTATCTGAAAGTTTTTTAGAAAATGATTGTTCACAATCGGAACTCTCATCAATAATAGCTCGTTTACCAACTGAATCTCGTAATATTTATTCACAGAAATTAACATTTTATTCATCATTATATTATGATATAAAATTGACATGTTATTTTAATTATTCAATTCAAATAACTTATCGATGTAATTTATTAAATAAACAATGGATCTATGTTCATGGTAATACAAATCGTTTTCAAAAATGTTATCTACCATGTAATAATAATGAACGAAATGAATTATTAAATAAATATTTTACAAAATATCAACAAACAAAAATTCGTACAAGATATATACAAGAAAATAATTCATTACGTTTATCATGTTTACATAAACCTAGCAAACGACGAATAGCAATTAGATATAAATGTGGAACAATGACAATAACAACAAAACAATGGTATAGATTACATTCATGTTTTCCACCTACTACAGAAACAAAACTTCCACGTAAGTTTATATCGAAATAGTAATAGAAACGATATAATAAAAAATGAGTTTATTTTGTAAACATCTGATTATTAACATGGGAACTGACGTTTTATTAATAACCAGTTTCAAATACATAATGAGGGTCTGATATATAGCCGAAATTATCTGACCCTGTTATTTCAATATTTTTGAAATATTGACCCCTTCGTTACATGAAGGTTGATGGTGCAATTTCAGAAATATGAAGATAATAGAACCAGATCATTTCGAACTTAAGAACAATTATCACCAGTCGGCTCAGCATGATGAATTACTCCTACCTAGGTGCTTTTTTTTGTCGGGCTTGCGCAACAGATCTGAAAATTCTGTTGGTTAATATGATTTTTATTTTTCTGATATTTAAACTAAGCTTTTAACACTATTTCGATAGGGTTTCATTGGTAAAATATAATGATATCGTTTACTGCATTTCACGTGTGACTTCTTTGTAATTTGTGTCTTATTTATAATGCCATATTTTAGTTGTAATGGTATCACTATCTGTAAACCGATTAACACCTCGATGTCCTCCAGCAGTTGTTCCTGGTAGTGCATGTGAATATCAAATAGGTCAATATATACTTGATGTAAATGGATGTACACGAAAAATTTGTCCATCAATTAGTAAATTATGTAATGTACGTATAAAATAAATTTTGTAAACTTATTTTTTTTTTTTGTCTATAATTTTATTGAGTTTTTTTTTTCTCTTTATAAAAAAGACAATTCGTTGTCCATCTGATCGAATATGTCGTGTTATTCCATGTCAATCATGTATTAATACTGGTTATCTTCAACCTGTTTGTGAATATTCAAGTAGTATGTGATTTTTAAAATATAGCTTTCAATGCTTTTTCTTTTTTATATATTAATCTATATGCTTAATTAGATCATCGTAATGTTTGATCATTACTAGTTCATCTTATGACGATTATTTATTTATTTTCAATTATGAACTTTAATTTTTAGCTTATTTTTATGCTTCTTACTGCTTTAATAATTAGATTTAATATAACTATTTATTTATTTATTTTGTTTTTTATCTATTTAATTTCCTTCCTCCTCTAGAAACCTCATTATGCGAACTTCAAAGACAATTACCTTTATTAAATGATTATATATCAATTGATCGTTGGAAACGTGAAATGATAACTCTTGTTCAACTATATGCTGATGAACAACGACGACGAATAACATAAAATTGGACTATTTTTGACATTAAATTTTAAAAAAACCGTACATTTAAGAGTATTAGATTTTTTCTTATCTTGTATAAAATGTTCTTTGTTAATAGTGAGAGTTATGCTTGTATGTTACTATAGCTGAGAAATTATATAAATGGAAAACAATTCATTAAGTTAACTAACAATACAAAGAATTCTTCTAAATGTATACTAAATGAACGAGAAAGACATTTGTATTGGTTGCTTTTAATAAAGTAAAATAAATTTATTATTCACAATATTCAATAATAAATCAGGCGAAAGATTCTTTTCAACATTTATATCGAGTTCCTATAATTCAATTATGTAAATTAAAATTGAAGTGTACATCATGTTTCGTTCATACTCTCAACATCATCAAAAATGAAGTAGATTCGAATTTGTATGAAAGATAGAAACAAATATTGATGACTGTTTCATAGAAGTATTCGATAGTTTCAAAAACTTTTAATCATTGTATCGTGTAAGAGATGATATTAAAATTTCGATCAACTAATATACTGATGATAATAGCAGAAGTGGACATTGACAAGAAAGAAGAACAACATGAAACTATTTAAAGTCCTTTCCTATTATTAGCTTTCACTAAAGCAACAACACATTCTAAAATATTTTCTCATCTTCATACAACTACTGTTCTGCATGAATACGACTTTTCACAAACGGACTCGGACTGGAGTTAATCGAGCTCCGGCACATACTTTCACAGACACAGTACGGTTTTTCAACTTTTATTTTATATGAAAAAGTATACTATTTAGTTTCTTCCATAAACAACAATAAAGAAAAGAGATTATCGCAAGTTCCACGATTTTACTTAGTGTCTTTTTGCTTCTAAAATCCAATCAATTTCGCTAATTATACGTTTGCTTGTTACTGATGATGATAGAATGGAATGGAGTGTGTTGGTGCCAAACATCATAATTGTGGATACATACATGAATGTTTTTTCCATCACGATAAATACATGTTCATCTTTTTTGATCATTCATTATCTTTTTCATGTATTCATTGGCCTCCTCATAGGGTTCATCATCATCTGTAGATGAGTTTTCATTTAACAAAAAATTCTTGTAGTAAAACAATATAGCGCTTTCAACTTCTATGACCTTTTCTCAAGCATAATAAACTGCTAAATCATGATCGAACCAATTTTCGCTCCTATGCTTTTATTTAAATTAGCAATTTAGAAAAATAAAAATATTATGAAACGTCAAGATCTCATTAATTACTGGACTGGGTGCTGAATACTCGACCCCGTTGCAGAACACTATGTACAACTATTCTTACAGCAATATCATTGAAACATGATCGGTAGGTAGAGTTCTATCCAAGTAATTGAATGATAATAATAGTTGAGAAAAGACTAGTAGATAGCCTCTCTGCAAGAAAGAACTCGTGGTTTTATTTATGGTGATCATCAACTAGATTATTTGAAAAAAAGATGCATTTCTTTTCAATATATATATACAGATGATCGTGTCTCAATAATAGCAAGTCATAATCATGAATTCTTTTTGACTTTTTATTCTTATTCTGATCTACTTGTAACCAAAAGATAGAATGGTAAGTTCGAAAATAGTTAGAATTTTTTGTCTCATAAGTTTAATCGTCAATAGGTTCGCAAAAGATTACTTGGAAAAAATATTGTATATATTTGCAAAGTTCACGAGATATGAAATTGATACAAAACTTTTTTCAATCAAATTCCTCATTTTCTTCTTATTTATGCAAAATAATATAACTAATTATTAAGAATTAATCTTAAACTGATGAATACTAAAATAAGTCACACACTGTTTGCTACAATAGAAATATATGCTTTAGTAAGCCATGAAATAAAAGACAAAAAAATACATCGTTAGATACTTTTATTAATGTTGGGTAAACCATTTGATGAAGAAAACTTTTAATCACAGCTGTTACTCCATAGGCAAGTATGACTTTATTAGTTTTTTTCAAATTACAAAAATGCAACATCAACAAAAGTATTTTTGGATATGTGTCTATGGTTTATGCACATTGTTCTTATTCAGCATTTTAATTTATGATCATTATCGATCTTATTCTAATTTCTATGATCAATTAACTACTGAAACTGTCTCGATTGAAAAAGTTCTTGAACACATTCCAATATGTACACCAAAAGATCGTCCACGTCAAAGAAACCTTTTGACTATGCTTCAAGCATGGTCTCATTTAGCAGAACAACATCATATTCCATATTGGATATCATATGGAACACTTGTTGGCTATGTTCAACGTCGTGGATTATTACCACATGATTCAGATGTTGATGTAATAATGATGTCTGATGATACGCCACAACTTATTAAACTTTCTCAATTGAACTTTTCTTCTGATTATGTGATTAAAGTTCAACCACAATGGTATATTGCGAATCACAGTTATCGTTCTTATTTTCGTAAAGATGGTATTCATTTTGTTGCACCTAATGCAAGATTCATTCATCGAAAAACACAATATCATGTTGATATATATCCTGCATATGATTTTCATCCACTTTATGCAATTAAATCAACAGAAGATAAACAATCAGAAAATTTAGCAATCCAGGCTCTTAGAAATCATTGGTTATCATATCCTAGAAATTGGACATATCCATTAGAAACATGTTATTTTAGTGAAATAAAAGTCTTATGTCCAGCACAACCTGAAAAATTTGTAGCAACTATATATGGTTCTAATGCTGTAAGAAAATCCGATACTAGATGTGTTCATGGTCGTTGGGTCGCAGCGATTTAAGTTCATCGAATATAAAACTTATCTTGCTTTTAATGATTCCAAACAATTATATGTTTTGAAAAGGAATATTTTTTAAGATTTATTATTGTTACTTTTGGTTTTACTGTGTATATTTTGATTAAAACATATTATTGAAGACTTTGTTGTTTAACTCATCAAAAAGAATTTTTGGTATTCAATTGATGAAGTGATTTCGAATATCACATTAACATTGATGATAAGCTAAGAGTAATTGTGCTTTTAAGTATTATTTTCAACACTAAAGTAATAAAGTAAAAGATTACTTTTCAGAGAAATGATATATTAAGACGAATTGATATTTACTGATTTTCATCAATATAATCTTAGGAAGATTTACGTGTTAGTATTTGGAGCATCTATACATTTTCTACAATCCAGAAAACAGCTCGTCTTTCTTGATAAGATATATCATTGTATACAAATAAAGTATATCATGTTTTTTTAAATTAATTTATTAGATAATATAATACTACTACGAAACGAGAATCTACGTAGAGTAACGTGATTTTATTTTCATACTTCTCTGTTAAGTCGTAAAACAATTATAATTATCGAAGAGATTAATTACAATAGACTTATTTTGTAATAGCTTCAGCATTATATTCAACATCGATTTGTGGTTATTATCAAAATTAGATAAGTTTCAAAGAATAGAAACTATTTAATGAAAGTTCTTTTTCGAGTTCAGTAACTCATTCAATGATCAAATAAAATCCTAAATTTAAGTTGTCTTGTTCAAATTGCAATTGTCCTCGATAGGAAAATCTAATGCAAATCATCATCTTAATCAATTGAGATATTATAATTTGTTTATATCAATTATATAAAAATTTCAATGAAGATATTTTCCGGAAAGAAAAAACTTCAATTGAACACGATTATTTATAATTATTGCTGTTTCCCACTTGATATTCTACAGCTTTACGTCTTAGAGTGGCAATACTCGAACCACGTCAAATATCTTCATCACCATTTCCTAATATATGCTTAGAAATTGTCGCACATACCGAAGGAAATAGTAAATTATAGGATGATGACGAAGAAGATGAATTAATCGGATCGATATTAATTAGTGTTGGTAATGGTGTAGAAAAAAGTGAAGAAGAAGATGGTGGCATACAAATATAATCAGTCGTTGCGCTTGATGAATAAAAATGTAATGAACATATTTGATCCATCTAAATAATTTTCTTTTCAGATTTAAAACTAAAGTGTTCATTTTTGTTTTGATTACCTGTGGAAAATCTATCGATGAAAAAGAGAATTGATTCAAATTATTATTATTATTATTATTTGTTGGCCATTTCACTTGAGGATGATGATAATGATCTGTTTGTGGTAATGTTGTTAACAAAGGTTGTCTATTGATTGATGTATTTATTAAATATCCATATGAACTTAATAATTGAGGATAATGCGATTGATAATATTGTCGATAGAAGTTAGTAGTTTTCTTGCACTTTTTCCATTTTGCACGACGATTTTGAAACCAAACCTAAATGACTATTCAAAAACTATTTAATAAAATAAAATAAAATAGCGAGAAAGTCTTCAATGACTATGACTTAACTAAGTTGGATAGTAATTTATGTTTCTTTGTTTTGAGAGCGAACAAATTATCTACACTCATTGGCTTAAATCATCCATGTGTTAACATACTTACATATTGTGGCATACATCTGCTGCTTCATTTTATCCTCGTGATATATTTTGTAGAGATCGCTGGTATGCTAATAGTAAATGTGTATGGAGAGTTCTGAATAAGCGAGAAGAACTGTGGTTCAATCCGATCTTCTATTCAGAGCTATAATTGGATGACTATTGAGAAGATAGACGACCACTTCTGAAGTTTGTCAATTGTAGGAAAAAGTATTAGACTGATTGAAAATGCCTTGGCAACATTCTGTACCGACAACGGTAGCCGAAAAACGGAGTATCTTTCTTTTTTGTAAATACAGACAAGATCAAATCCCAAAAAATAAATAAAACTTAGAAAAAGACTGTCTAATAATTTGTTGCTTTTAGTTCAGCATTATCAATTCATTCAGGAATCTATTCATCTGTCTTGATGACTACAATTGCTTTTGAATTCTAGTAACAAATCCAATGTGTCTATGCAAAACGAATTTCAAGTCAATTTGCTTTCTAAATTTTATAATCTGTCTAAATACATTTCTGTAAACAAAAACTTTGAAATATATATCCAAAAAATAGGACATCGTCAAGTATGGAAAAAGGCAATTTTCTAGACAAAAAAAACAAACGTCTTCTCGATATGATTTATGACTATAATAAAAAAACTCTTTTCTTCATCTCTTCGACTGATATTTGCATTATTATCATAAACCTCGTATTTACTAGCTATTTCATTCTAGTGATTCGGTCTTAGATAATACAGTATTTGTCAAGCATGCAACTCTTATGACAATTTTTCATGAACAAGAGATCTATTCCAATCTTTCGGTATAACTTCTTTATTAATTATTTAGCCGTTTAATCATTTCTACTCTTCATTAATCGACGATAAAAAAAAATTAACTATGTCATTTTCGAATAAACTGTATTGTGAAAATTGAAAAACGAAATATGAATTCATCTAAAGAAGAGCTCTTATAATTTTTAAAAAGAAACAAAATCATCCTATTGTTATGTGAACAATAAAAAACAAATTACCTGAACTCGAGATTCTGTTAAACTAATTCGTACAGCTAATTCTTCACGCATAAAATTATCTGGATAATGAGTTTTACTAAATGATTTTTCTAGTTCATTCAATTGTGTTGATGTAAAATGAGTTCGATGACGTTTTGGTTTAATTGTATATGCTGTTGATAATTGAATACCATCATGAGAAGATGATGAATTTATTGTTAGTGCTGATGCAGAAAAACAATTATCATTATCATTAATTGATGAGAATGTTTGTGACGGCAGGCACACTTATAAAATAAAAAGATGTAATAAGAGAAATCAATAACAAAGAAAAGTATTTGTTGACACATTTCAATATAAATACCTTGTTGAACATATTTGTCATTCAGTTTAATTAATTTTTGTTGACAATCATTGTTTATATTGAACATATCGAAAATGAAATTAATTATCTTCTTGTCTCATATAATTAAATCCATTTTACATATAGATGATCAAATTTTATGTACTAGATTTGAATATGTTTCCTATATAATATAGAGGAAGAAGTGAATGAGAGAGAGAAAGAAAGAAAGAGCGGATGTCATTCTTTTAATATTGTTTGTCACAATAAATTTATTCTTTCTCTTTCTTTCTCAATTGACATTTTCGGAGCACCTATTTTGAATAACCAATAATGTTTTTTTAATCAATGAATATACAATATGCCTTCAAGCATATCTATTATAAATAGGGAGAATACACGCGACAATATCATTATCGGATTATCATAATTTCATAAAAACAACACAAAGAGAAGAAATTATCAAATATCTCGTTAGATTTTTGTTCAATAGAAAATCAATGATTTCATTTTCTCATGAACATGAAACACGATACAAAAGCAACGATACACAGGAGATGAATTTGTAATGCAAAGACTATATAGACATCAAGCAATGCATTCATAAGTGAGTGTATGAAAATAGTATAATCATTATACAATAAAATTAACATAAAAAAAATGATATTGAATAAAATTTAATCAAAATTTTTCGTGAAGAACTAATTAATATATTTATTGATCTTGGTATCGTATTTTTTTCCAAAAATTTGATTTTTCATTCAATCAAACGGAGTAAAAATTCAATTTCTTCATGAATTATTATGGAAACATCATAACAAGACTCAACATTAGATTGCTTTTCTGTGAATTATTTTCGTATTATCATGTTTATAGAAAGCTTTTCTAATAAACTATGATTAGATAATATAAACTCATCCAACATATGATGCATGGGCCGGAATATAAATGGTCTCATAGAATATAAATAGTGATACTGTAAATTTACAAATTTTTCGGAGAAAACAAGTCAATTATGAACAAGTATTGAATGTCAAACGAAAGATTAGAATTAACGTTCGATTTTTTCATCATGAGAATTTCCACAATAAGATAAAAAAATTAATTGTTTCACTTTTGGCTCGTAAAATATGATATTCATAACCATAGGCGGCGGAATGATTTCACTCTATGGTAGACTCAATTTTTCAGTCAAATCAGGTCTGGATGCGAGTTGAAAAGTGATGTTCTTTATTTGTTTATAATGGTAAGCGCTATATGTTTTCTTGCTAGGTTTTGATTTTGTGTAAGTGTGATAACTCTAATGTTTTATTGTTTCAAAACAAAATAGGACCTAATGAAGTAAAAGAGAAATACTGCTTAAAACAAAAAACAATAAAAAGCAGTCTAAGAAGAAGTAAAAGTATTGAGTATCAAATAATTTTTTTCTGTTTTGATTCTTGAAGATAAAATCAAAACAGATGCTGTTCAAATCAGGTAAATCTAATTTTTCTTTATAAGTACGAGAAATATTAATAACATGATTTAATCATTGTTGAGTCACTGCACAGAGCAAATATGTTTTCATTCGATTCATTACACTACATAGCAGATGAACTTTGCTCCACACTATTGTTGCTCTTTTACTTTTTATTTTGAAGGAAAGATATAATTCTTCTCTGTTTAGCCGACATTGGTATACGCAAAGTTTAATTGTATTCAAGTATCTAAAATTCAAAAGTTATTTTAAATAGAAGTTTAAAACAACAATTAAACTGTCTTATATTAAGGATTCTCGGCCATAAAATCCATTTTTTTGAAAAATAATCAAAGTTCAGTTTTTATCATAGGAAGATGCGGCAAAGTTTCCTCTCTCAGAATATATATGACTTTTCAAAAAAAGAAAAAGACCAAATTTTAACAGACTTTCGAAGGAGATTTTCACCCTAATACTTTGTTTTTCGAGAGATTTTCGTGTCTTTTTTATTTTTGGAAAGACTGCCTTTTTGCTTGCATTAGTATTGAATAAATATTTTAATATAATTTAAGCATGACCCATGATGCTAGCTTACATCATGGGTTGCGTGCTTTTAAAAATTCCACTTAAATATTTACGAATATGCCTTCTTTTCTAGATTTGAATGAAAAAATCCATATTTCAACTTATTTTACATTTTTCTCAGAACATGATTTTCAAGCAGAAAAATGCACATAACTTCCATCAGGTTCAAGCTATAAACTATATTTTTTTTTTGTTTTAAAGGTCTAAATAATAGTAAGCTTTTGTTCGACAAGATTTTTTGATAGTTGATTACTGTGTTAAGAAGAGCGAGACTAAGTGTCGTGATGTGTCATTTTTTGCTTATTTTAACATTGTATGTACTAAAATGATTATAACAAAAAATGAGTGGAAGCGAATTTCAAAATTCTGTCCGATGAAAAACTGTATACATGTATTGGCTTTAATTTGAAACCACCCCAAGCTCTATACCTCTTGCCGTAGCAAAGTTACAACGATTCTTCTGATGATCATAAATAGACTATAAATAAGTCCTAAGTTTGCTCTGTTTGAATATATCGAGCTGAAATTTTTACCAAAAACGTTTGTATATAGAATCACTCATTCCTGAAAATTTCAGCCCAAGAGGATCACTTTAAGTGAAAAATCTATTGTGATGGGGCTCTCTAAAGAACCCAGAATGCGACATCGATACAAATGTCAATGAAGTCCAATCAATACCTCATTAGGCAAGAGTTAATAGTAGAGAAAATATGGAGTGATCTTGTAACAATGCATTACTCGTCAGAAGAACATAAAAACTAAACAATAATAGAAAATTTTTACATTGAATGAAACCTATCCAAGGCTTAATCTGTCGTATTTTGAGCCTATCCAAGCCTAATGGCTCCGCCGCCTATGCATATGTACTATCTCAAAATTTCGGTCGCTTTTATACAGAAAAGGATAGAGAGACAAAAATACGAGAGAAAAAAACTGGAAATTTTATTCTCGTATCTCGCGCATATTACCTATAAGATGCAAAAGAACGAAAAAGTAATTTGAGTCATTATTCAGTTGGTCACAAAAATGATTCATTATGTGGTGATACAAAGAAGAGAACGATAAATAATCGGTAGAAGGTCATGAAAAGGTTATTAAATACATTTATTAGAAGTTAACTGTCCATGAAAATGAGCATCTCGAAAAATTTTTCTAAGAAAAATGAATTGTGTTGAATGTGTTAAGATGAATCAGATGTCTATAGTATATTTATTTAAATATCTTTAGCTCTAATTGAATATATATTAATATATGACCATTGTCCATCATTCATTTTTGACAAATCTTTTTCAACATTTTCTTATTTTGCAATTGTTTTTTTGATATTTGATTCTTGATGTTTTTATTTAATTTCATCACTTGTACTAAATATTCATGTCTCAAAAATATAAAAAGATTTAGACAACAAATTTTAACTTTACATAATTTGCACTAAAAATAGTCATCAACGAATATTGATAATGAATTAATAAGATTACAATGTTTAGTCGATAAAGAGGATTATTCAGTCAATAAAAAAAAGATTGTAATGATTTATAAAAAGATAAAATATTCTGTTGTTTGCTATTGTATTAATAGTGAAAATTAATTATTTTAGACATTTCTGTTCAATAAATTGTTTGACTCTTCTTTGAAATGTGGAAAAAACCATCAATATCATACGAACCGATATATCTGCTCCATAATATGGACTAGAGATCTAAAATTTTAGGATAACATTAGTCTAGTTACAAGACACTAGACGTTCAACTTTGAGCATTTTTGGATTTATAATATGGAAGAAAAAGAAAAATTTTCCGGTAAGTACCACGACTTTTGAATCACCCTGTAGAACGACTTTTCATGTTTAGGATTGACCAAGTTTAAATGAAAATATAAAAATAAACAAAATAAAATTCTATCCAAAAGTCATTTTCGGTCTTGTCAAATATTTGTTCACAATTAATCAGTCTTAACACAAAAAAAAAACTAAGTGTCCGCATATATTTGAAACGGATACACAATTGTAATTTTCAATAGTTACTAATAAATAGTTGAAGAATGAACAAATATTTTGTATCAAGATTTCCTTGGTATAATTTAATTCATATAAATCAATGCATATTATGTTTTTTTTCTTCCTACATGATTAACAATATACATGAGAGAAATTTTATTTTCTTTGATGTAAATTTTTAAAGAATAAAAATTATTGATTTATATTTTAAAGAAAAAAAAATTGATCATAGAATCTAAAGATCATATTTCATTTTAATAAAAATCAGTTATCTATACAATTAAATTCAAATGAATCAATATATCTATTGAAATTTGATATCCTATTCAATCGATTTCTGTTGTATTATTATCTTCATTTAATGAAAAAAAAAAGAAAACGTTGGAAACAATTTGTTTTATTTTTGTAAAAGTAAAATGATTGTTATATGATATTCATACTTGTTTTTTCAAAATTAAAATTTATATAAGACAACAGAATATGAATGAAATATTTTTCTCTATTTAAATCATATATTTTTTCTTACTTCTTTCTAATAGAAAATTTCAACTCATAGTATCAGCCAACTATTGATGATTTTTTTATTATTATTATTATACACAAAAAGAAATATATATCTATGAAAAATTTATATACGTATTTGATATACTGATGTATCATAATTGTCGTCCTCATCAATAATATGATCTATATTATTCGATTGATTGATTGTATTATTTACCATCGATTGAGAAGAAATATTTGTTTGATGAATATTCCCTAGAGTAATAAAGTAATATCCTACATTGCTTTTATCATTTGATAATCAGAATAAATTCTATATTAATTACATATAAAAATGTTCTATATCAATTAAACTCAATAATAGCATATCTCAAGGTATTCCACCAATGAAAATCTTCAAATTTCTGAAATAGAACTTGATAAAATATAAGATGGAACTTTCCTAAGATAGAAATATAATTTTTCATCATCTCTTCTCTATCAAATCTTTCGATATGACATACAACTTCTCACTATTATATTGAATTAATTCTTGAGACAATCGAAACTTTACAAAATCAAACACTTGTTTCTACTAATGTATTCATTATAATCAAATTACGAAAGAGTTAGATATAAAACAATTACTAATATTCATCATAACAGTACTCATTACCGAAACAACGAATATTTCTTTTTTATGAAAATTAATGGTGTGAAATGAACGATGAAAAATATTAGCATTCGAAATAGATAAAAATAACCAAGCATTAGATCAAGATGAATCTTACAATTAAATAGCAAAAACGCTACATACCAAGTGATCGTGCTTTTGTTCTTAATATGGATTCTTTTATTAAATTCCTATCAATAATCGAAGATTTTGATAATGAAGTTAATGGTTGATAAGAATAACGTCTTATAGAAGATGAATGTTCGAAAGTTAATTTCCAAGTACCTAAATATAAACAATAGAAAATAAAATAAAATCATTAAATTTATACGAATATCAAGAATATGTTGTTGTAATGCTCGAATCCAATTATTTAATGTAAATAAATCTTGAACAAAAAATTCTGCTTGACCAAAATCATGATTATCAACTATAAATGATAATTGATCATCACATGATGAAATGATTGTTTCCTAATTTCAAATAAACAAAAAAAAAAAACTCCTAACATAATAATCATCAAAAACGTATCAATCACAAAATTCTACCGATGTAATTGGTATAGAAAATCGATGTTGATCTGAAAAATTATCTCGCATTATTTCTTTGCCGTTTAAAAATCCTGCAGTTATTATACATGAATATTGTACATTATCACTTTCTAAAACTCCAATTAATGTTGCTAAACTTGTATAACATAATGGTTGAATAGTAAAATGTGCAATAAAAGATGTATGAATTGGTAATTGCATAAGAGGATTTTCTTGTAAACGTTCCATTTTTAAATATCGAACTTTAGCCATTTTATGTGCAGAACCTTTTGTAAATATAGTTCGAGCAATTAAAACAAATTTAGATTGTTGTTGAATCGAGGATTTATGCTAAAATTTCTTTCTTATTTTTTTTTTTTTTTTATTCAAATAAAAATCTTCAATTTCTTACATTCGTTGAATTAGTTTCTTTTATTTTTCGTGTTGATTTATATGATCCATATGTAGAAAAATAACTATAACGATTAGCAAAATCTTTTACTGATGATGATAAAGCAAGACTTTTATTTAATGCATAAACTTCCAAATATAATTGAAAATCATGTGGAACATTATTACTTAAATATTTAAAATGAAAAAAGAATAAATAAATATCAATTAAATAAATATAAATTTTACAAAATAAGTTTATCTGTAAAAAATATTTCTGTTGATTTTTTATCAATAGATTTCATTTTTGTATCGAGTATTCTACATCCAATACGTGCCAAACAGAAAACAGCGAATTTTTTTTGTTCTAAATTTAATATGTAGAATTGATTCATAAACAAAATTTAAATAAAATTTCTACCTAATTTTGCTTTCATAATTGTCCATACTAATGGTAAACGAATATCAGATAGAATAATTGTTGCTTTTGTTGGTTCAAGACTTTGAAATGAAATTCAAAATATTAACAAAAATAAAAACTTAAATTCTAATATACGAAATAAATTAATCTTCATACTTCGTATTATCATGTTTAAGTAGATTTTGTTGTTTTCGTTGTAGTTCAGTCATAAATGCTAATATACGTTGTTGAGAAAGAATAAGAGCTTTATGACATTCAATTGTTTGTTCAAGTGTTGTAGCCACATTGAGTAATTTACTAATTCCATCTATCATCTTGACTTCACAATCAATTTTACGTTCTAATTCAGGATCCTTTTTTTTTTATAAACAATTTTTTAATTACTTTTACTTTCCCTTTTCGTTTCATTTTACATACCCAAATAAAAAATGAAACAACTCGTTTTTGACTATTATGATGAGTACTCATTGATTCCATTGTTGAAAACAAAGAAGAAATTAGTTATAATTGATTTCACTACATGAAAAGGAAAAAAAAAATGAAACAGTATGGAAGCAAAAACAAACGCAAATGTCACATTTTCTTCTTCGGCTTTTTTTTAATGCTTTTCGTCTTGTCTTTAAACGTAGAGTGACATGAGAAGAAGGCAAATATGTACTGCTTAATAATTGAGAATTTCATTATACACAAGACGCACGTCTATGTAGGTAGACAGGTGTGTTCTCAGGGATAAATGTCGATTTATTATGCGTTTTTTTTTTCGAAATCTATTATGATACTATGTTTCTCTTTAAATATAAATCAAGTAACTTAGTATTCTTTCTTTTTTTTTTCTCTATATAAGGATGAAGTAAAGAAAAATAAATTCAAGGATTTTAATTTTTATTTATTTTTCATGATATAAAACAAATCTATATGATTTTTTATTTTAATAAAAATTTACGATAATTGTTTTTTGACATAGAGACACAAATTTAATGATGATTGATTTAAAAGAAATAAAACCTTTCTCTATTCATTAAAGATCAAACTCAAAATAAAAAACATCACATATATCGTGATCAAACAGTACAATAGTAATGCACGACATATAACTTCAAAAGAAAAATTATTGAATAAATTCAATCTTTTACTTCCTAATCGATTCTATTCAAAACTACAAAGCAAAAAAAGAAAAGTAAATAAATCATTTAATAAATTCCATATTGTAAGAAAATCCTTCATTTTTTGTTATTTTTCAATATTAAAATTATTTTCCTTATATAAAAAAAAAAATCTTGAAGTTGAAAATTATGTTATCTATGCTTGTATGAATGATAATTTATATTTGAACAAAACATCTAAATAATTTATCGTTCAAGACGGTTTATTCAAATGTTTCATAATAAATCAAAAATTTATATACTTATAGACTTCGTGATATTAATTCTTTCTTTGTTTCTCTTATATAATACAAAAGAACAAAAAAAAAAAGAAAAAAAAACACAATATGTATGTGGTGGGAGTGACAAATTGAGTAAATAATAGGCAGTAATAATAATAATAATAGACAGACAAAGAAAATCTTTTTTTTTTTCTATATTTACACAAACATACATATACTTAGTACTATCAAATCGATAGTAAAGGACGGCGCCGTTTTGTGTTTTTTGTTTTGTTTTATATCATTCACACGGGACAGTGTACACACTAGCAACCATTCAAAAGAATCAGACAAAAAAAAAATGCAACTCGGGACTGATTTTGATCATCATATGAAAAAAAAAACCATAGACACAAACAGACATGAAAGAAAAAAGAAAGAAGACGCTATTCTACATAATAAGATCTGGCAACAGATACCATGGAATGGTCAAAAAAAACGCGAGACAAATATCTGAGGAATGTATAATGATAAGGACGGAGACTAAATGGAAGCACGCGCACGTCGTTAGATTCAAAAAAAAGAGAAAAAAAGAAAACGAAAATATTATCAGTTAAATTTTTTTTTTTCTTCAACGTGGATGTTGCTGCTGTAACATATCAACAAAAGCAGCATTTAAATTAAATGATGTTGGTGATGATGGAACCATTGTTGGTGGAAAACTATTATTATTATTATTATTATTATTATTAGTATTATTATTTGATAATAATGAAGATGAATTCATTCGTTTAGTTGCTTGTGAAACTTGATGAGAATCAAGTAACAATTGACTTTTAGGTGGTCGACCAGGACCACGTTTTTTTGTTGCCATTAATGGCACATCAAGTCCACTACCTGTTCCTCCTATAACATGTGATAATTTCGAAGTATTTGATGATGCTGGTAAACTATGACGTGTTTGTCCAGCTGACTGTTTAACCATCGATGCTGGTGCACCACTTAAACAAAAATCTTTTCTTTTCAAAAATTCTTTGTTTTTTCATAAATTTCTACTTACTTTCTAACAGCTGAAGGAGGAGGAGGTGGTGGTATTGATAAACTAGTTTGATGTCCAAGCATAGATGCTAATGCTGATTGAAATGTTGCAGATGATGTTCGTGTTGAATTTCCTGTAACACTATTTTCAATTGCAGCAAATAATTGATCATATGATGATGGATCAAGATCATGTGAAGAAAGACCAGGTAGAATTCCACGTTCAGTAACATATTTTGGTGGTCTACCTCGACGTCTTGGTGCAAAATTACCACGTTCAAATGATGAAGTATTTGTAGATGTTGGTGGTATCATATTTGTACTTGAACGCATTATTTGTGGTTGTGTTTGTTGTTGTTTTGGTGGACGACCGACTCGTTTTGGTATTGTACCAGGTGGTGTTAAACCAAGTAATTGTTGTTTAAGTAAAGATGAACTATCAGTATCATTTGATTGTGCTGACATCATTAATTGTTGTGTCATTTGCCATAAAAGTTGTTGATGTTGTTGTAAAGATAATGATGTTGTTGATTGAGATGATGATGATGATGATGTTTCAGATATTTTTTGTCGTTTAGCTGATGGTGGAGAAGAAAATGAGGATGATGATGAATGTTTATGTTTGACTAATTGTTGTTGAGAATTGAAATGCATCATTTTAGTAAATTCATTAAATAGTGTAGATGAATCGGATAATTTTGACGATGATGATAAAGATTGTTGAGATTGAGACTTCGATGATTTCATGCTAAATACGTAAACATTTTCCTTTTTTTTTATCAATTGACAAACAAAACGTTTTTTTTTTACTACTACATAAAACCATCAAAAGGTTTCATTGATAAATACATATGAGATTCTTATATGGATTCTTTATAAATACAAGTCATTTTGCAGAAAATAAACTTTTTAGTTTATACAATCAATGTTAAGTTTTCTTTTTTTAGGATCAAATTCAATTTGATTATTATTAAGTTTAGAAGTTCATTTGTCTAGTAAATATTTCAAAATTAAACTACAATGTCAATTAGAAAGCTAATTGATATATTCATAAGATGAGATTAATCTCTTCTTAATAGTTTCTTATGAATTGAACAATTTTTATAAGTTGAAATTAAATCTGACTTCCTTCGATTATAAAATTCCGGTCTAAATGCTTAATAACCCATACCGAAAGTCTATGTAGATATACGATTCATACTGTTTTCTCTAATTATTGTTCATATAAGTATGCTCAGATAATTTGAATTCAATTAATTAAATTTACCTGTTCGTTTGAATAAAATCATTAGTATTATGTTTTCCATTAGTAATTTTTCGTTCTTGTTTTTGTATAGATTTTTTAAAACTATTTGTTGATTGTTTATGATTTAAATATCCATTAGTTTTACTATTATTTATTTGTTGTTGTTGTTGTTTAAAATTTCTTTGTCGTTGTTGTCTTATATTTTGTACAATTTTTGTAACAATATCAGCTAAAAGATCATCAACTATTTCTAAAATATTTTCATCATCATTATAATTATTATTTTCATCATAATCATCTTGATTATTATCTATTAAATGTCTAGATAATAAATCTAATTGTAAACAATTTTCTTGTTTATGTTGATAACATTCATCAGTATGATTTTCATTATTATCGTTATTATTTTCATTGATATCTTCTTGATCAGATGTTAATATTGGTTGTTCATGATGATGATGATGAACATTTGATGAAGATTTTGATAATGATAATGGTAATAAACGTTGTTGTGAAGTTGAAGTTTGAACTATTTGTGGAGATAATTGTAAACGACGTGGTACACCTTTTCGACGTCCACCACGTTCAGATTGTATTATTTGTTGTTGCTGTTGTGGTGGTGGTGGTTGTGGTATAAGAATTTCTTGTTCATCTTGATTTTCTTCATCATCAATATCATCTTCTTCAATTTCATCTTCATCAATTTCATCTTCAGGATATTGTTGAATTTGATCATAATTTTGTAAAACATCATCATCATCAACGTCATTATCCTCTTCTTCTTCTTCTTCTTCTTCATCCTCATCATTCTCATCTAATTCATCTTCTTCATGTTCAATTTCATCATCCACATTAATTGAATAATGATGTCCATTACCATTATTATTTAAAAAAGGTAATAACGATGGATCATCCATAAAGCAACAGAAAAAAAATTAAATAATGAATTAAATCTTTAAAAAAAAAAAGGCAAATCTCATTATTAGTAACAAAGAAAACGCGCGAGTATGTGCATTTGTGCTGTCCGTGCCGACCGAACGATAGTTGTGTGTGTGTATGTGCATAGATAGAAAATTTAAATCTTTTTCGCGTTCTTTTTTTTTAGGCTTTTTTTTTTTGTCCGTCCAACCTGCCGTCAGTCAATCACTCGACTACTAACCCGTTCGCTTTCACTTTCTCTCTTTCTCGTTTGTTCGCGATTTATTTTCATTTCTTTTTTCTCTCGTCTTCCGAAACAATGGATTCAAATTCCATCCATCAAAAATAAGAATTTAGTGACATCTGTATAGAAAAATATTTTTTTATTTGATTTTAATAAAATAAAATAAATCATTTTTTCGTTTTAAAAATGATTTGTTGTTTTTTTTACTAAAATTGACTCAATGGAAAATGTTACTATAGTAACAAAATTTCAAATCTAAGAAAAAAAAAAAAAATCTTTTGAATTTCTATTTTATGCTAAACAAGATAATCTTTTTTTTTTTTATAATTTTCTCGTATCCATTCATCAATATTTGATTTGACACCTTTTATTTCTATATAATATATGTATATATATATTGTTTGTTCGTGTTTGTATATAAAATTTGACAAACAATCGAGAAATTTCTTTTTCTGATTTGTTTTATATTTTAATAGAAATGTATTTCATCTTTACTCATTGATCGATAAAATGATTCGATTACATATTTGATTGATTCTTTTTTTTTTTGAAAAAAAAAGTGGCAAGATGCCGAGAGTTAGTTAAATAGATTCAAGTGTTTTTTTTTATTTAGTGTGTTTTAATTTGAATACGAGTATTGGAAATTATCATTCTTGGTATATGAATATCTAGTTGTCATATAGTTGGGATAGTTGTATAGAAAAAAAATTAAATGTAGTTTTATAATTGAATGAGAAGAATTTTTACATGATGAACCACATGAATTCTAATTAAGTTTTAAATATTTGAAATTAATAACGTAACATAATGATTCATATCATTATAATAGACTTAATTATATGAAAAACATTGGAAAGAATTGGATTGTATTCGTCGTGGATAGATTTTAGTTGATTTTCCAATTAATTAAGAACAAACGTTAGAGTGACAATCTCGGAAAATATATCCAAAACGTGTTGATAAATTGAATGTATATGCGAAGATCATCGAAATCAACCGTATACCAAACTTGAATCTTTCGAGTTCCTTGTTTGTCGTGTAAATAAATATATCAGACATTCAGACTTACAAAACAATATTTCGCTAATCAAACTAACTTCGAATCTAACGAAATGTTTCACCATTAAAACTCAGTTCAATATTAAAAGAGTTTTTGAATTACAATTTTTAGTCCTCGGTATTTGTTGTATAACGTGTTGTATTCTTGAAAATTTGATTGTTATCTCCTCTAGCTCCTATCGATAAGAACAAGATTGAAATCAAGTCTGATTTCGATTTGTTTGTCATAATCGAAGAGCTCGACAAGGTATTAAAGAAAACTCCAAAATACACCATAGTGTATAATATATATCAAAGAATCAAGGTTAAACTTGAGAAAACTTCTTTTAATAAACATGATTGATCGAGAAAGATATACTTCATCTTGAAGAATTTTGTAATTATGTTAATCAAAGTTAGAGATCGGCTTTCTCTACTATACTGCTTTTCAAGTCAAACTACTTGTTACAATTGATAATGACAATTGCAAAAAATAATGAATTTATTAAAATAGAAAAGCATCATCTTTTTAAAATTTTCTTATGAACACAAATATTCTATTCATATTTCATCTTTCAATGTTGTCATTTCATTCAAAGAGGATTTCTATTCAATAGAAATTATAGATACTAAATTAGAAAATTAAAATTTTGAATCTATTCTTAGAAAGATTTGTATTCAACTTCTTTAATTTCTGTCTGCTCTGATTATATATACATGTTCATTGTTAGTATGTATTGAATCAGCAAATAATGTTTTAATTTACACGAGCTAATGAAAAAAAAAACCTCAGTCGAAAAACAAAAGGTACATTTACAAAACTGTATTTTTGCTTTTCTTTGGCATTAGTATAATTATTCGTTATTGTCAGGTAGAATTAGCAAGACTTTTGTTGAATTTTTGTTGTCGCTGTGTAGAGTTTGTCGGGTAGGTTTCGAACTCGGATTCGACGAGATTCGGAATCAATCCAATGAATCATACTCTAAAAGTAACAGGCAATTATGACTTGATTAATATAAGATCATTGTCAAGATTGTCAACGAAACCTGTGAAGTATTTTAGTAGCAGTGTACAAATAATCAATAAAAGGTATCTCTCATCTTTCGAACAATTATATCAGTCAGACTAAAGGTTTTCATTGAAATTATGAGTACGGGTCGGGTCACAGTCTCAAAATTTTAGATCCAACAGGCTCTCTCTTACATTTCTCAACCTTGGGACCCTAATGCGGTTTCTATTTATCATACAAAATAGCATATTTCAAGTTCACATGATGTTCAATAATGTTTAATTTAATTAGGAAAAAGTTCTGAAAAAAATGATGGAATGACATTTCCAACAATAATGAGAATAAATAAATCATTTTCTTTTTTAGAGAAATATTGATATCTTTAAAGATTGTTGTAAATTGATTTTATTTGTAATTAATATTCTTATATTACTCGACAAGAATTAAGTTTAAGTTTCCTTTAATAGTCATTGTTTTTTTTAATTGATAGAGTTTCAGATAGTTTATTAATGTAAATCATTCGAGATCGATTAAATCAAAAAGGTCATAGAATATAAGTTTGATTTATGATTGATTTTCCTCGTACGTGGTAACAAACAAAACGATGTGTTCGAATAATTTTTTGTTTTTCTTTTTGAATAGTTCACACGATCGATAGAAACTTTTCATAATGGATAGATTATAAATATCTGCAATATTAGTATTTTCAAAATTTCTTCTCTATACTTACTTTTTTCATTAAAAGGTTACATTTTAAAATTCTGTACGAAGCTGTATATAATTCAATCCAAAAATTGTTTCAGACATAACTAAAAATAAATAGATGTCAATGAAAATCTATTGTGATTTAAATGAACTGGTATTATTGTAAACAATTGATTTGTAAAGAAAAAGATGATCAATACTGCTAATTTCATCAATTTTTCTTATATCCAACTTGAAATTTGAATTCAATTCTTGAATACTCGAAGTTCAAATAGTTCTTTCTCTGATTGAGAGTGACATGAAAAACACCAATACAATGAACTGATTAATTGAATATTTGAAGAATCGTTCAATAATTGAACTCAAGTTGTAAGTTTGTTACTATTGAATTCTTTATGGTTCACTCATCACTATCACATCTATTAATTCTAGTATGTTGAATTAATTTGATTATTATTTTAAATTGTTTCATATCTTTAGTTAACAATATAGCAATTGACTTATTTTGAAAGAGAATTATAGAACATTTTCTTATCTGTAGCAGAGTTAGCATTGTGTATTTCTTTTTTTGTTCAATAGACATACTGATTATCTTGAGTAGTTACTATAATTCAAGAATATTTCTAAAAGTTCGAATGTCGAAAACACAAATGAGATATAACTAATTCAATATGATTGAATCCTAAAAAAATATAATGATACATATCGGAAGTATTGATAGTTAATATTAGCGTAATGTAATTTCCTGTTATTATAAAAAAAAGTAATTAAAATTTGTTTAACCATTTAGAACAAAATTTCAATTATAAACGAATGTTTATTCGTTCTTCACAATTCTATTATTAAAATATGCATTGTATACATTTGAATTTGTAAAAAATATATTTTGTTTATATCATCACTTACAAATAAAGTATTATTTGAGATTTCTATACTATAACATTAATACTGATTAATTAGCATAATCAAAATATTCATCCGTATATGTCGAGTTTCTATGAAATTTATTTGAAAAGAAAAGCTTTTAACGACAGATAATGTTGATAAATCCAGAAGAAGAATACTCTTGCTTTTCGGCTACCTTGTGATATAGAGTGCTACCTAGCGGCAAATTCATTACTTCAATATCTTGTCTACAGTCAATACTACCTATATCTCTGACAGAAGACCGAGCTGACCCAGAGTTCTTGCGCTCAAGCGCTTGAGTTCTCCGTTAATACTGGCAAACTACATACTAGTTACAAGAACAAGTGTATATCATAATTTAATTAGTACGTTATCGGACGAACGATCCGAGCCAATCAGTCATTCCAAAGCTGGTAGTACCAAGGTTTGAACACAGCATTTATCGAATATCTACCGAACAATGTAGTCACTCAGACATGATGACAGAATAATAAATCAAAGTTAGTTGAATAGATAGATTTTCATCTTAGAAAAAGTAATCATTATTAATTGATGTATACAAAGAAATGCAATGAAGAATATGAGATTTATATCTTCTACTGTAACATTTGAAAAAGTAGTCTCTTAATTAAAGATTTGTAATCGAGACTCTCAGGGGAGTAGTTAAAGTCTGACAATGATTATGTAAGACCTAGATTATCATCTTTGCGTACATATTGCATAAACATTTTTCGAATTCTACTTCTAACAATTGAGTCTATACGGGCGTAGATGTTTTTAAACTAAGTTTGTGAAAATTTTCACTAAATAAAATTGACTTTGAAAAATATTTTTTCAAAAGATGTAACTTGAAGAAATTACGTATTTGATAATTGAGTATTTAAAAAATTCATATACTCAAATGTTGTACTGATAAATATTGTATTAATGAAATAATTATTAGCTAATGACATATTATACAAATCTATATTAATGGTAACTTGAAATAATTAAAGCATTATATTCGTTTATTTATATTAATTCTTTAATATTAACAATGATTAATTCATTTTAATATTGTTCGTTCTTTGTTTTTCTTCTAGAATTGATCTTCAGCA